TTGGACACTTACATTAAATTGCTTCTTATCTGACTTTACAGGGTCATATTTTCAGAATTTTATCTTTTTTTTGTTTAGCTGAATGGGATTTTTTGCTTAATTTCATTTATTTTCATCACTGAACAGTGATGTTTTCATTCATCAATAAACCTCCACTGTTTTCCCTTATAGGTTAATTTAGGACACAGCAATATACAGTGAATTTTTTATGTCCTGTCTTATAAAATAAATTTATTTCTGCATTGTTGTAATCTGCCTTCAGGGATTTATTACATTTATAAGTATTTTCTCAAAATGTTTTTTTATATTAGATAAGAATTTTAATGAGTAATTTTGTCCTGTCTCTGGCTATGTCCTATGGCTTCATTCTGTCATTCCCAGAGATTGTCCCACTAAGGCTAGCAGCACTCAAGAAACATCTCTTGTCAAAAAACATGGCATCACCTCCAGAACACCCTAGAAGAAATCTGGCCAGGTCAAGGGCATCCACATGACTCCTGTTGCATGTCCTTCTGCTTTCCCGTGTTTTCCCTAGCACTGGGGCACATCTGCACCCTGTGGCTCCCCATAATGCCTGGTACTTAGGACTTTCACCGCTTAACAGTGCCCACAGTAGATGTGCCACAGGAACATTTCCTGATTAATTTTGAGGTTAGCAGACAGCAATAATGTTCCAGGGGGCTGATATGGTTTGAAGCTGGCTCCCTGCCAAGTCTCCGAACCTTACCACCAGAAGTCCCCCTTCCCCCCCAAACCTCAAGGAGAAGAGGGAGAAAAAAAACTAAGAAAACCCAAAACGAGAGAGAAACAACCAAAGTGAGATATATAAATATATTTACACTTACATACAATTAAAATATACAATTTCACGAGGGAAAAGGGAAGGGGGGAGAGAAAAGGGAACAAAAACTAAAATAAAATATATATATATCCCAATTAGTGACCCAATATCTAACAACTAAAAAGTTAGCAAAGAAAAATAGCTCACTACTCTCCTGGGACAACCGAGAGTTGCTCCGGAACGATCGCCGGCAACCTCCGTCTCCCGAGGTCGGCAAGGCCTAACCAGGCCTCGCTCCCCAACATGGCAGACTCAACAGCAGGGAACCTGCACCTCCAAGCCGCCGGAAGGAAAAAAAAGAGCGAAGGCCTCTCCTCCTTTCTTCTTATAATCTGGTTTACGTAAAAATCATAGGGAATACTGGGTAAATCTGGACCCTTCCTTGGTTACAAACTGGTCACCAAGGAAGGCCTAGCCCAAACCACCACAGGGGCTGTAGATAAAAAAATATCTCCAGTCCAGAAATCCCTTGTATTGCCCCACTCTTTTTTTTAATCTGACAAGGGCTGGATGGTCCTCAGCAAGGTGTTGTTGCTCCCAAGTTGTAGCTACTGCTGATCTTTTCTACTCTCCACTGTTTGGATTAATGCTGGAGACACCACGGGAGTTGGTGAGGTTCTCTAGCTGAAAATTATCTGTGTCTTGCTCTTCACATGAGCTCTCTAATAATTTTCTAATCTTACTAAATTCTAGCCTCTCGTGGGTGCCTGAGAAATATTTGCCAACATGCTGTTCACTTCTGAGGCAGTGCAGTCCTGACTCCTGCAGCACGAATGACTGTGGGGACAGAATGCAATCATGTTCCAGGTCCCACTCCTTTTCACTGGGAAAGGGTTTGGTGGCTAGAGGCAGACGCTTATCAAAATACCCATTACCAAAAGAAAACTGGCTTAGTCTATATGTGTTTCTAGCTAATGAGATATCTTTTCCCTTGTTAAAGTAAAGTTGATTTATTTTTCCTAATTAATACACACCATTTTGGATTAAAACAGGCTACTCAGGCAGTACTCTTCTTGCCAAGTACTTAAAATCCTAATTAGCGAGGCCTCTTAGGACTTGGTTCTTTTTTACCTGCACCACAATTATTTTGCTAAATTCTGTAGTGTGATCAAGAATAGCCTGGGCTTTCTGCTCAGGCCTTCCAAGAACACTCTGTCTGGAAAGCAGGATATGTTTCCCCATATCCTCAGACATTGATCCCTCTTTTTGGACTTCATGGTAGTCCTTAAATCTTATCCAGTCTGATTCAGCACTTGCCTGTGATTTATGTATCCTCCACCTTATCCATCACAAAAGTGATCATTGTCTAAATGCATTCCAGGTGTTTTTGTCCAAACTGTACCTCTACGCATATTCTTACCTCATGCAGAGACGAGCATGGTGTTTTGCCCAGCTGTCATCTGTCACATATGTAATGTGTTCTTTTTGAAGAGATGCTGACTTGGGAGTGGGGAAGGGAAAGTATTTTGAATAAGACCTCAAATGGACTGAGTGCAACATAGCATGGTGATGATTTGAGCTATGAAGTAGGAGTTTTTGAGATATTTTCAGGAAGTATATGGGAATGCAGGTTATGCAGATTACTGGTTTGGAGGGTACTGGTAGTCAATGGAAGGATGGAGTTTCATTCCTCAGGGATTGTTAGGGTTCACTGAAAGACGATCCAGTAGTTTGACATTGTGGATAAACAGGGACTTTGTCAAGGAGCAGGACAAATTAGCTATTTCTGAGGATGTTGATATAACAAGACCTTGAGTCTATAGCTGTAATCCAATCACCACCATGTATATCATGGGTAAATGAATAAATAAACTAGAATTCCCCTACAAATACAAATAAATTTTCTCTTTTTAGGCAGTACATGAGCTTCCATAAGGGTTGTTGGCAATTCCCTACAGAATTATTTTGTCAGCAAATGAAACCTAAATGTATGGATATATTGGAGAGAAATATATTTGGGAAAACTACTTTGATTTTCAGTGCAGTCAATCATCTACTCCTATCATTACTATTTATGCAACTTTTTCAGCTGCTTTCCATGATAAATTTAATTGATTGGCCAGAATTAAGTGGTAGATATACGGACAGCTTAGTAGAAACATAAGGCAAGTTATATACTCTTTATTTACTCTTTGGGGAAAAAAACCCAAAACCCTCACAAAAAAACTCAAGAAACCAAAACCCATAAAAAAACCCACCCAACCAAACCAAACAAAAAAGAAGTCCAAAACCACTCCCTGCCTGCCCAACAAAAAACACAAAAAAACAAATTTTTGAAGATGTGGAAGTTTATGTTATAGCAATCTGCCAAGGCTTAGAAGTCCTATCTTTTAATTTCAGCTTTATTCATCCAGAACACATTTGCTGCTGAACATTAAAAGGAAAGAGGTGAGTTAAGGGGAAAGCATCATGGGTTAACTCCAAAGAATATTTTGCTACAGCACTACATCACCTCTGAAAGTGTAGCCTCTGCAACAGAAAAAGATTATTTTCTCATTCCAGTTTATTTATTCAATCCATGAAAATTTCTACTAGCTCTTTCATTAAAAAATGCAGTGTCTGAGAACAAGAAGTTTAATTCTTTGTAAGTGCTATTTTTGTTGTTAATGAGTTTCGATACAAAACATATTTTGATAAACTTTCTTTCTCACACATCTGGCACACTTGGTTTGGCTTTGTTTAGCTAACTCTCATTTAAATATAGGTTTTTGTAGTTTTAATTAACTTACAGTCTCTCTCTGAGTGTAGTTTCGTAGAACCCATAAAGAAAATAGTTACTTTGACACTAATGTTATCACCAGGATACTCTTGACTTAAACAAAGTAAAGAAAACTATTTAGTAAGAAAAGGCTGACAATCAAAATACAGGATATGAGTTAATAATAAAGCAAGTTATTTAGGTGTAACCCAAAAGGTCCACATAAGACCAAAGACAAAAACAAAGAAATAGAGGTGAAAAGGAAGCACACAAGGAAAATTCAGTGCAATGCAGAAATAAGTTAGAATGTAGACTAAATGAGATGAAAAATATACCACAACATAGTAACCGAGAATGACATAAAACCACATTAGCTGGTCTAAAGTTTGGTTAAGAACAGTTAATATTAGCAAAGCTTGAGTTTATCCGTAGAAGAGAAAATTCAAATGTAGAAATTTCTACAATTTGCTAATAAAGTGTTTCACAAGCAGCTTTTCAAAAACTACACTTATAGAACAGAAAAATATCAGCAAAAATTTGAGACAAAGGAAGAGGAAGGATCAGGTTTTGAGCTATGCTGTTACTGTCTCATTCTTTCCAAGAGGTTCCTTACCAAGACCCCTGGTATTTAACACACTGACATCTGCGATGTTCCCCTTCTCCTTGCCCAGGTACTGCAGCTGGTGAAGCCAGAAGAAAGAGCAGCAGCTGCCCCATGGACAGCTAGGGAGGGCAGGTGGTGTGGGAGCCCACAGGCAAGTCAAAGCAGGCAAGGAGCAGAGCAACATGGGGTCAGGTGTGATGGTCTCTCCTTGGTACTTATCAGGAAGGCGTGGAATTTGTCCATTGTAACTTGCTGAGTAGAAAGTGGAAAACCATGGTTTATCAGCTTGGTATCCTCTGTTTAGTGTCCTACATGTGTGTGTGGTTAAAACAGATGATGATGATGACATTTTTTCTTTTTTTCAGGATTTAATATGCTTTCTAATGTTTAATGGCTATCGTAACTCAGATGCACAAACGGTCCATTATTTAATCATATAACTATATAATCTATCAACAGTAAAATAATGACTACCCACAAAAACTGAAATCCTGCAGCATTTCTTTGTTTCTTGTCACTAAAGGAAATGGAAGGTCATCAGCTGTGGAAGTTCTATCGTTTTCTTTCACTGATTAGGTAACCAAGAATTAGTTACCTAATTGTTTTCATGAAAAGAGTGACATAACATTTCATCTTTTATGAAAGAGAAACTAGAAAAATAGTGGCTGATCAATCTAACTCTGATCCTTGAAAGATCTGACAAAAAACTTAATTCAGTTTGTTAAAACTTGGGATGTAAATCTTGTGATAAACTAATTCAATCAGCCAATTTAAAAAATCAACAATAGAATAAGGCCAGTGGGAATATTTTTAAGATCTGATGGTCAGTTTAATATTATTTTCTTCTTTTTCAAAGCATCTGGCTTACTGAGAAAGAAAGTGAAGCAGGATGTGACTTGTACTGTCTTCATACTGAGTCTAAGAGTACTCTGCAAGGCACTATTTACAGTAACATAATTAAACTTTTCCTAAATAGAATGAGTTAGAAAACAGTTATTCTCTGAGTGACTGTCATGTTTTGGTGTCAAACTGAAAAGGCTTGAGGTGCTTTTGCTGATCTCTCACAGACCTTGTTTAAACAGATATTACCATTAGAGATTTCAATCACCGATCAGAAAACTCTTGAAAGGCAGTCAAGTGAGCATAAAGGTAAACATTCTTTTGTGGTACTTCACTGGTGGGGTTATAAGGAATTAGGGGAAATAACAGTGGTGCTTTTTTGGGGCTACAAAAGGCCAGCTGTAAGATGTGCTTCTTTTTAAAGAAACAAAACCACTGTAGAGTCACAGGGAGACCAGCAGTCATAGTATGTTTGGGCAATGCTGCCTAAAGCACAAAAAGTATTGTGCAGGGAACAGTGATGGTTCCCTAAGTCTTCTGCAGGGAAGGACAGTAAGAAATGAACACATTCTGTAAGGAATGAATTATATTTTATAGAAGGAGACGCTTTCTAACTTAGGGTGTTTTTGGCTTGATGTAGTTGGGCAGGTCAGACAATCTACTTTCTGAAGCAATCTGATAGTGTGGATTTTGCAGAGAAAACCAGGTAATTCTTCAAGCTGTCTGTTCCTTTCTTTGCCCAATTCTCAGACTCCTTATCAAATTCCCATTAGTGTAACAGTTATTCCTGTAAGCCTACCACTTCTTTCAATTTCTTTCCAATTCTACTTTGCCTTCTGCGCATCACTCACCATATGAAAAGAATAAGAAGAATGGTACTTCATAATTATTTCACATTTAACTTCTTTTGCCTAGAAACGAATTCTGAAGTCAAAAGCATTTACAAGAAACGCAGTACATTATTTGACAATGTAATTTCAAGGGAACCTTCTCTATAAAATTATTTGGGATTCTTCTTTAGGTAGCTTGTTTACCATTTTGCTTATGTGGTTGTACTGGTTTCAGCCGGGATAGAGTTAATTTTCTGCCTGGTAACTGGCGTAGCACTGTGTTTGGGAGCTAGTATGAGAATAATGTTGCTGACACAGTGATGTTTTGGTTGTTGCTGAGCAGTGCTTACACTAAGTCAGGAGCTTTTCAGCTTCTACTGACTTGCCAGCAAGGAGCCTAGAGGTGCACAAGAAGCTGTGAGGGATCACAGTCAGGACAGCTGATCCCAACTGGCCAAAGGGATGTTCCATACCATATGACGTAATGCTTAACACTAAAATTGTGAGGGGAATTGGCCAGGGGTGGCAACTCACTGCTCAGAAACAGACATTGGTCAGCAGGTAGAGAGCAATCATATTACACATCACTTCTTTTGTTTTGTTTTATTTTATTTTTTAATCTTTATCATTATTTTTTTCTTTCTTTTTCTGTCCTGCTAAACTTTATCTCAATCCATGACTTTTACCTTTTTTTTCCCCCCATTCTCTCACTGTGAGCAGACATCTGTGTGATGCTTAGCTCCTTGCCAGGTTAAACCACAACTTTGACTAACGCTGTTATATCATACTGCCTTCAGCCCTGTCAGAACTAGAAGTTCTGGACTGAAATACCAAGCTATTCTTTGTCAATATTCTTTGTACCTGAAGAACTACTTATTCCTGATGTCTTTTCCAAAGTATTTTTGCACTGTAATATGTAATGCTTTAAACTACGTTGTAAAATATAAACCACATTATTCATTCCTCATTTGCATTTGCAGATTCCATGACCACTGATGCCCATCTCCCCTCAAAATTATATCAAGCTTAACAGTGGCAGGCCACCATCCCATTTGATGATAAAGATGTGTGCTGAGACATGAAATTGAGCATCTTCTGAATGTTCAATACTGTTTGAAAGGGCAGTAGCAGAAGGCAATTAAGAAAAAAGCAAAGCTACATGATAAGTTAGAGAAAACTGATCTTATAACATTAGTAATTGCTTCTCATGCTGGAAAAAATGTATCCACAGAGATGACACACAATTTATTGTTCTGAAAGTTTACAGAAAATTGCCTAGAGTCAAAGAGAAATGTACCTATGAATTACTGTGGGAAATAAAACCTATGATTATTAAAAGGTAAAAAAAGGCCTATGTGACTTATTGAAATAGACTTTAAGCACTATTCTGTTAATAATTTTTTCTATCTGGAATTTGACTATTGTCTCATCAGAAAAGTAATGGCAGTCCACCTCACACAATCTTGACAAGATTTGACTTCATACAAAGCACTTTAAAGTGAAGAGGCAATTACAAAAGTCAGCAAAATCCAGAACAAGATGTATTATTTACTTGATGAGGAAGTCAAGAACTAACTTTTTTTTTTTAACTTATTTCACTTGTCCATCCTGCTTACTTTTTAGTAAGCTGATTTAGGGAAGACTGTGTTTCTGCTTGATCAGTTGAATTTGGGATAAATGGCAGACTGGTCTCTGGACTTCAAGACAATATTTTCATTTAGCTTTAAATAACTATTTACAGCCAGGCTCTGCACAGTTCACACAACCTGTCCACTAAATGGATTTCCATTCATTAAGGAACCCCACTAAAATCAGTGAGAACACCTAATATGAGAACAGTATCAAAGAAGGACAAAATCTACCCTTTACTGTATATTGATATTCAGTGTCACAGTGCCTCTCTAGTTAATCTTTCTCCAACAGAAGGGACAGAAAGGCACAATTAGCAAAAAGAAAGTTGAAGTTTTAACCCAAAGCAAAATGAAATTTTTTTTTAGGTAAATGATCTGCTGTTTTGTAAACCTGAAATAACTAAAAATATTGATATGCTTTGTGGCATGTAAAATAAAAGAGTAATCCTCAAATACAGAAGCAGAGAACATAGCAAAATTATACCTAGAAGACCTTGTTTGTCAGCTGGGTTAAAAGGCAAATAGACATCATCTCTTGTGCATTATTTTTGTATCCAGGTGCACAGAAGAAAGAAAAGGAATCAAAAGGAAAATGACACTCCAGGCTGCCAGTCATGCAAATATTTCTATAGCCAATCTCCTCCTCTTCAATAAGCTGTTTTCCTGTCAGATATATCTCCTGTAAGCACAGAAGTTCCTCTCTTGTTTTTCTCTCAGTACCTCTTAGTAGCAGGAGTTGACTGACTCTAAAAGCAATTGTTTTATGTCTTGTAAGCCTCCATTAGTATTTCTTTTTATACTTTAAGCCTTGCATATAAATAAGTATTTTCCTCTTCACCTGCTGCTTTACCCATCTTAAATGTGTGCAATTGGAAGTGAGAGGATAGTGACTCAGTTGGAAATGGAAAGTGAGTGAGTGAGTGAGTGAGTGAGTGAGTGAGTGAGTGAGTGAGTGAGTGAGTGAGTGAGTGAAACAAACTCTTACACCTCTCACTCTCCCTCCTCTGAGGAACTGTTGCAGTGACATGAGCACAGACAAGCAAGACGACTGTGATAGAGAAGGTCACAACCTGCAGTCAGTCATCACATCCTGGGAGCAAGAAGAACCCCTCAGGGACAGCCTTGCTGATACCAACAGCTGAAAGAGAAGGTGCCAAAACGGGACCGTGTGAGTTGATAAAGAGACACACAACAGGTAAGCTGAGAAAGTGCTTTATGCTTAGGGAAGCAGAGTTAGATGCCAGTTAGAAGCACTTAAGAGCTGGCATAATTTTTTGAGGCAAAAGCTTCAAAAGAGAGAGAACCAGATAGTATAATACTCACCTATTTCTTTCTTAATCTTTTTTTAATACTGATAATCAATTTTTCTTTAAGCTTCTCTCAATATTTAGATAGCTGATGGTCATTTAATTTGAGCATGTTTTCATTGGGAACGAAAGTCTTTCCTTTGCCAAATATGTTTCTGCTTTATGTTGAGGTGAGCAACAATTGTGGGGTTTTATTCAATGCAAAAAAAGCCACTGGTCTGAGCTTTACTAGATCATCTGCACCCCACAAACCTTAGATATTGCTTAACTTTCAAATAATGAACACAGTGCCTTTAAAATTATAGCTGTACTTGGAAATAGTGTCACACCTGAATTCACAGTATAATTTGGTGAAACGCAAGTGGCAGATGTTGTCCTTTATTTTGTGTTCCTTCACGTGACTTATGTTTTACTCAAAAGAGCAACCAAAGAAACTGAAAGCTTCCCTGCTTCCCCCCCCCCCCCAAATTCTCTTGTAAAGAGCAAGATGAAACATCACCTGGTATGAACCTCTATGAATAAAATTGAAAAGAGCAACATACATTTTCTTGCTAGTGGTGTTTGGGCAATGAATGTTGTTTGTTTTAAATTCAAAATCAGATGAGATTGCCATAACTGGATTACTTACAGATTTCAGAGTCAATGCCTTTCCTTCCACTTTTACTATAAAAACTTTATTGGTCTTAGCTCTTTGCCAACACATTAGAATATGCTGCAACACTATTATCTAAGTTTTAGATATGCACTCCCTTTTGTAAACTCAGCACAAGCTTATCATGGCCAAATTTCATTTGATTCTGTCACTGCTTTTCTATGGCCTATTCTAATTCACAGATCTTACACAGAGGTACAAAATCAAAGATTTTCTATAGCCTCAGGATTTGAACAAGATCAAAGTTTTAAGATTATATTTGTCATTGTTAGTCTGCGCAGAATGCATCTTAAAATATTTAATGTGTGAGAGTGATTACATGTCCTGATTGCTCATCCCAGTACTCACCCACAGAAATACATTAATGTCTTTTGCTTTTTTGTTGACGTAGTCCGGTGTTACGCAAACCACAGCATACTGCTTATCAAGAATACTGTTGGTAATAACCTTTCATTGAGGGTGATTGTTGTATAAATACCTCTGTGAAAAGTTAAGTGGACATTTTTATTTGGGGAAAGGAAGACTTCTGCAAAATTCCTATTTTCTCAAGTGTTACTACCACTGTAACACGTACCATTTTTGCCAGAAGCCTTGAAAATACTGAAATACAGCCAGAGATGCATGAGGTAAAAGTATTGAAACAGTTGGTTACTTTGTCTATGTCATAAATTTGCAATTTTAATCCACAAATATATTTTTTACAGTTTTCTCTGCCATGAAGTAAATTTCTGCCACTTATGCACCTTGGAAACATGTGCAGGCATTTGTGCCTTAATCTTAGGGTACAACACAAGTGCCAAAACAAACGTCCTGAAATTATGTAACATTTGGAATAACTTGCTTTGTCTCTGCTCGCAGGGAAATGTGAAAAATTGTTAGACAATCAACATGGTCATCGACCATTTGCAGCTGAGTACCACAGTACATTCATGTTCTGTCCTTGTGGATAGCTCATACAGATCAAAAAAGTCAAGGGACACTTCTAGACTGGAATACCTGTCCATGCCAATGTGATTTTTACGAGTTCTTTTGGAAGCCCTGTGTGTATCTATATATATAGATAGTAATTCAGGTATTATTTTGTGGGGGTTGTTGACAGTGTATTGAATCAGAACAGAGCCAATTTACACGGATAATGACTAGAGAAGACACAGAAAAAGTAGTTTTGGGGTTTTTTTCCCAATATAAATGTGACATTTTTTCCAAAATGCAGTATAATTATGAGATTTTTCCACAAAAATACTTGCTGTAAATATATTTGTGAAATTCTATAATAGTTACTTTAGATATACCATAAACATACATATATACTTTGACTGTCATTAATTTTCTGTATCTTCTGATTCAGAATGAAACTGCTTTTCAGCTGTATGTCAGAGAATTTAAAAATTTTTGTGTCTTATCTCAGACACGATTATTTGGTAATAATTTAGAAGACATGTTAAAATTGTAATAGAAAGGAAAAAAACCCAAACAATTCCCGTACTCTCTTGCGTAAGGTTTGTCTTCTACAACAGCTAGGTCTTTAGAGCAAGCTGCGGATGATAAATCTGAGTATAAAAATAATGCAACATTATACTGACATGATTTGACACTCTGCAGATGCTATTTGCATGAAATATTTCTGATGCGGCTAGTGCCAAAGTACTTACTGAAATAACTCTAAGGTCTTGTAAGCCCCAGCTATAGCATGCCAGGGCAGTGCTTCCTTTGAAGTTTGTTGGGCAGCCTGGGAACAGGGATTAGTCACAGCCTCAGTGCTCTTATTGGCTCTTATTGGCTTTTTGCTGTACCTTGTTGATATTTCCTGTGAAAGTCTGTATGAAGGGGGTTGTCCTCCTACAGCTCTACAGAGAGGGAGGTTGGAGAGCTGGCTAACAATAACATATACTGGACTGGGAAGCCAGAGAGGCAGCTTTAGTTCTTGGTTTTGTTACTGTGAGTTGCTATGTAACCTTTGGTAAGACACTGTGGTGGGTTGCTTTTGGTGTGCAGCTGCTTTCTCACTGCCCCACCACAGCAGGGGAGAACACAGGATGAAAAAGCTCGTTAGTCAAGGTGGGGACAAGGAGATCACTTAACTACTGCTGTCTCGAGCCAAATGTTTTCGACTTGCAGGAAATTAAAATTAGAACAGGGTGGTGAGAAATGAGAAACAGAGGCAAAAATTAAAACCGTATCTTCCCTTAACCCCTTTGCCAGGGTCAGCTTTACTCCTGTCTTTTCCACGTGAGCCATTGCAGGGGGACGGAGGAGTATTGCTACCTGTACATGAAAACTCCTCTCTGCCACTGCTTTCTTCTCACACCTTTCCCCTGCTCCAGCATGTGTTTTTTCCATGGAATACAGTCCTTCATGAACTGCTACAGCATGGGTTCATCTCCATGGGATGAAGAGTGAACATCTAACCTGACATAGGGCACCTCCTCTTGCGTCTCCACCTCAGACCTCAGTGTCCATGATCCTGTTTTACATATCTTTTTGTTTTCCTCTTGCCTTCTCTCTTCTAGTGTTTTTACCCTTTTTTAAATATCCCAACTGCATATTTTGGACACCTGCACCTTACACAGTTATTATGTATCTGCTTTTGCTTTGCTTCATTCTTCCTCACTCATTTATGATTCCATTCTTTTCTAAAACCTATGTAAAGCACAGGCAGCCCCAGGTCAGTGCTGTTTTATTCTATAACTGATGCAATTGAAATTGAAGGGCA